GGTCTGGGCCTCCCTTCTGAAGCTGCTGCCCCCGCGACCCGACCCCGGATAGGCGGAAGAAAATGGATGGATGGATGGATGGATAAATTTACTTATTTTTTAAACTTGGAGATCTTTCCAGCTTGAGTTTGTTTGTTTGTTTGTTGAAGTTGATTTTTGAAAATAAGGGGCACATATGATAGTTTTTACTTCACTCTGCACACTTTTAATTCAGGGTAGAATTTACTTTTTTTAATGCGGTACATAGATTGTTTTATTTTTATAAATGAAAGAAACAAATAAATAGACATCTCTTAATATATTTTGACAATTCAAAAAACCCATTTAAGATATCTCTAATTATATTCTGACTTGTATAAATAACGTCAGATTTATCGTTAAGTTGTAGTAAGACTCCAGTTCAAGATATTTTAAATGTATCTTTAGATTTGAGATAGACTATAAAAGATTCAATTAATGCAAATTTCAGACTTTCATGTTTTGTAAATTTTATTTAAAACAAAGCTGCTACTGTTGATCATTCTGTTTGTATAATCCCCGCCCCCAAGGCCAGTACTCTATGGGAAACACTGGAAAGGTCTAAAAAATGTTTTTGATAAAAAAAAAAGATGACTTTTAGTGACTCAGTCTGCAATGTTTGCATCAGTTAAATCAGATGTCATATATTTTGTACCTCTGTATAACCATGTTAATAGTTTTGTAGTACAAATACACGTTTTTCTTATTTTATCAAATTTTGAATATTTTTGTTTTGGGCGGGTAACTTTTCATGTTGGGCAGGTGACATTTTTCATCACCTGCCCAAGAGGGCAGGTAAAGAAAAAAAAATCTTGTTGAACCCTGCTTTAATAGCATTTCTTACTCTATGGAAACACTGCAATTGCGAAACTGTTTTTTTTTTTCGACATTAACAGAATATCAACAAAGTTTTGCGCTCATTTGCAATGGAAACGCAGCTAATGTCTTCTTTTCTCTTTTATTATATCATTTAGGTTCTATTCTTGAACAATTAAATGTTATCTTCATATTATAGTCTTACGTTTTAGATGTTGCACCAAACATGCAGGCAAAGTGTCCACTTCCTTATTTTAAACATCTGGATGTTCATTTTCTAAAAGTTGAGATGAGATATTTTTGTTGTGTGTTTGCAGGTGTATTCAAGGGCAAATGACAAAGAGCCATGCGGCTGGTGGCTGGCAAAGGTTCGCATGGTGAAAGGAGAGGTAAGGCTGAGCATCACTGCAGGGCTGAAGTTACTTTAGGTGAAAAGCAGTCAGGTGTTAGGAGCAACATTAAGGCTAAAAATGACCGTATACTTCCTAAGAATGAGCCTGTGTTCTGAGGCTGCTGAAGGATTCTGTCCAGCAGGAGTTGAGTAAATTGTTGGACACTGATCAGGTGGACTGATCACTTCAGCCTCAGCACATGTAATCTTAGAATAATACAGACGTTGGCTGAGTGAGTAAACAGCAACAAACTAAACAAATGATGTCGTAAAAGTGTACAGGTGGTTTTTGGTAACGAGTTGTTTTAATCTTCTAAACACCACCAAACGTCAGACTTATCATGTATTTTAGTTGGTATCCCAAAGGGAATTTTTAACTACTTTCTTTGCCATTACTAACAAGTTCATTTTTTTAGAAACTAAATGAAGTACAAGATACTTCAGATTTTCAAAATTGGACAAGTACCATATTTATTCATGTATAATACGACCCCCCCTTTTTTGAGCTTAAAAAACATAAAAAAATGTAATCCTCAAACTACCTACAGTTTCATACAGACTTCAAGATTTTTCAGCCTTTGCAGTCTTTATACATATCAGTAAAATGATCATGAACTGTTTATTTTATTTTAACAACATATGTACTAAAAGGTATTTTGACAACAAATATATATCAGCTGTAGCAACATCATATGAATTCTGGCACTTTACACATAGTCCACCAGGAGGCGCCAACACAAAAGTCAGAGACTTCACATGAGATTTGGGCCAACTTGTGGGGGAAAAGCAGATTACCTCCCACTCTCGAGCGCCCCCTCTGGTGGGGAAACATTTTTCAGGGATACAAACTTTTTCAAAACACTGGTAGACAGCAGCCATTACAGACGAACATGTGTTTGTTGTTGTTCCAGGAGCGGCTCGGTCACACACTAATGTCATTAGTTCGTTATCATTACTAAGCTGCAGGACTACTCCCCCGCCCCCTTTTTTTTTCACATCATGTTACCTGCCTGGATCTGTTATTATCTCACTCTAAAGCACGGAGGAGTGTCAGAGGTGAGCTCGTTTCAACTGCTTTTTACAATGCGGGCTCATTTCCGGACTCAATAATTTTGCCAATATTTCAGTTTAAAAAATAAGTAAAAATATTTATCCCAGTATAATTCTACCCCCTAATTTTATGGATGATATTATGGATTAAATTTTACGTATTATCCTTGAATAAATACAGTACTTTTCAAATGGTGACCATCTCACCATCTGTCACTGCTGGAACGGAACGGCCAAAATCTGACTGACAGGCCTTCTGCCTCGGCAGGCTTTTAGATGGGATTTTAGAAGAAGGCGTAGACACTTTAAACCAAGGGTTCTCAAAGTTTTTCGGTCTGGGGACCTTACAAGGGTGAAAAAATTCCAGGGACCCCCTTAATAAACCTCATTCTGTTAATGCAAAATAATTTACTTAACTTATTAATTTATTTTTACCCCTAAATGCCATGGTAATAGTATTTTTGTTTGGTATGTTTGTTTTACTAGTGCATTATTCCCCATATGCATTTTTAAAATAAAAACCAAATTAACAATTTCTTGAAATTTTTTGAGGACCCTCAAGACACGACTTGTGGACCCCTGGGGGTCCTGGGACCCCAGTTTGAGAAACTCTGCTTTAAACCCTCTCCTCCACGATTACAAAGCTTACACAGAGCGTATAATGTTCATCTCTTCCTGGTTACATCCCTGGACCTTTTACGTCAGATGTCAGAACATAACTCATTTTGTTCAGACTAAAGAAAGAACACATGATAAGACTCAGTCTGCTTTAACCTTACAGGCTGAAATTATCAGAAAGTATAAAATACAAAACTGAATCTAACATTCAATAATCAGTTACAAAATTTCCTTCAAAATCTCAGATGTGTGCATGCACTTTGTAAATAAAATAGACTGACAGATGGGTCCTCGAGGAACTCTGTAAGTTGCAGAGGAAAATCAGCTTTCTATTTCCACAGAGAATCATCTTTTCTGCAGCGCTTCAAGAAAATTTTCCTCAAAATCTTAAATAAGGCCTGAAAATCGACTGACTGCTGCTGTTTGGTTCTCTCTGTTTAATGCATTGTATCAGTTTACCTGATCTTTCTGTTTGCAGTTTTATGTAATAGAGTACGCTGCGTGTGACGCTACATTAAACGAGATTGTGACGCTGGAGAGGCTACGGCCGGTCAACCCGAACAAACCAGCCTCTAAAACCACCTTCATTAAGATCCGACTGGACGTACCCGAGGATCTACGGCAGATGTAGGTCCAACATGTGAACATTTAATTTTCTTTAATGATCAGATGCAGTTCTCTGTTCTCTGAGTGTAACGGGCTTTAAAGACCCAGTGATTATGAAAGAGAGATGACATGTTGGAGAGAAACATGGTTTTGTGTTCTCTGTGTTGCAGGTGCTCCAAGGAGTCGGCGCACAAAGACTTTAAGAAAGCCATCGGAGCGTTCAGCATCACCTTCGACTCCGAAAAGAAGCAGCTAGTTATTTTGGTTCGTCAAGCAAGTTTTCTGTTTTACAGAGAAGTTTCTGTGAAAATGACTTGAACAGCTAGTATCTTACCTGATGTAGATCAATCGTTATGAGCCTCAGTTTGGAGAAATAGTTTTGTTTTGACTGAGAAGCATCTGAGAGGGTCCACTGTAAATTGTTTCTGTCACAAAACAACTCAAATCTCAAAACGTTTAGATAGGGCTGGGCGATATGGCCTAAAATCAATATCACGATATATTGACCAGTTTACCTCTAACGATAATTGCACAATAACTCTTACCACCCCCCAGTACACACAAGTACACGGTATAGTATAGTCATAACACTATACAATGTGTCCATGTTCTTAGGCAAAGTACACAGTTTAGTATTCTCTAATAAAGCATTATACAAAAACTTTAACCTGAACCATTTGGACCAAAGTGTTTTTAATATATTTAATAAAAAACATTTTTGTCAAGACTTGAGTCAGATATAGTCATACAAATATTTAACCATCTTCATAACTTTTCAGTGCAAACACATTATGTATGTATTATACTTTTATATTTTAAAAAAATATACCAAATATGTCTTTTGTACTTCCCAAAATAACATAACTACAGTTTTTATTTGTTAGACTGACTGATTTCTCTATTAAAATAACTATTTCTTTAAAAATTATATTATTTAGAGCTCATGTAATAATTTACAGCGGGTAAAATAAGTATTGAACACGTCACCATTT